GGTTAAAGAAGTGGAAAAGACACCGAAAGCTATTGATTCAATTTGAGTTGATCATGAATTTGCAAACTAATAAAGGTAATAATAGAGTGTGATGTGCTTGCTTCAACTTTGGTTTGGGATATTGTAGTGATTATTGTTGGTTTAGATATAATCTTTATTACAGCAATAATAGAAATTGAAAAGAACCAAAACAAGAAACAAAAAGATCACTTATTAGTAAAACTTCTTGCATGGTGGCATCTCGAGTTGCAAAGTGGACTCTTCTTTCGACAAGCACATCGATTTGTCGTACATCCGCTCAGCCACAAGGGATGAGCGTGAGGCTAAAATTATAATAATTTAGCTGAGGTAAAAAACATTTGGAATTTATAAAAAGAAAAAAGAAAGATTAACAAGAAAGATTATAAGTGCAAAAAAATGTGCCTGCCTTGGCTCCCAGAGATCGATGCGGCCCCAACAGCAGTTCTCAACGATGTCTCCCGGTCCAGAATTGAATTGATCGAGAAGAATTCAGATCCACATGGAGCCAGTTGATTCCAAGTGAATGTTTGCCGAATGTTTTGTGTCCCGATCGAGTAAAAACCATCAGTTACAGCTAGAATTTCTTTTTACATTTAAAAATAAATTTAAGAGTACCTGTGACGACTCTCATCAAATTAATTTCGTGGTCCAATCTTGGGTCGATCGACACAAGGAATTGGCATCAAAACATTTTGTCCAAGATCAATTGGTGCAAATCTAAAAGTAATCATAATGAACACATTGAGAACGCAAAAGTACCTTTGTTCACTGGCGTGAAGCATCTTTCATGCCTGATTCTTTTGAGCAGAATGGGCTCCATGTCTTTCTATCATAATCGAATCGTGTAGACAATCGATTTCCGCTTGCTCCTCATCTTTTTGAACGCCTAACGCCAAATAATGTTTAGTAAATATTTTAAAAGGCAAACCAAGCACTGGACTAACAATCCCAAGTTGAAAGTAGGCGTCATTATTCCCCTGATTTGCGAATTCAGGAAATTTCTAAATAATAACGTTATTTTTATGTATTTAAAACGTAATTTATACCTCAACACCACTCTCAATTGAATCCATGAAGCTTACAGGCTGTAGACCGGCGTAACGAGTAGAATTATCTTCCTAAAGTTGCAAATAAAGAAAAAAATTAATTTAAATTAACCTGAAGCGTTTTCTCCTCCTCCTCGTAGGCACTTTTTGCTGGGATTTCGTCGTCGTCTGACAAAACCTAAACCACACAGTTTACTTCAAATATTCCAGACCTACAAATATTTCAAAGTTTACTTCTTTCTTACTTTCTTTCTTTCTTCTTTCTGTAGGATTTTCAGAGTCTCGTCCCAACATTGCGACATATGGGCTGCGTTCAATACCAGAATGAAATCTACCGATAAAATGTAAATTTTCAAAAAACTAAAGTTACCTGATGTTTTTACGATATTGAATCAAGGGCAAAAATCGGGCACACGCGGTAGTTTTTGTTTCTCTTTGATGAACGCTCAAGATATCCTAAACGATCACAAGTATTTTTATGAGCAGTCAAACTAACCTCGATATCCGTGTTTGCTCTTTCTACACTTCTTTGTGACTGCGAATGGCGCGGTTTCCCGTGAACGATCTTGCAACCAGGCCATTGAGCGACGACTTCTTCCAAGGGTTTATTTGCAAGCTCTCTGCCATTATCTAAAAGCAAAAATAAAAAATGTGAACTAGAAAAACCAAAAAAATAATCTACCTGGTAAACGAAAATAAATTTCTTAGCTTAAATTTTGCGTGGGTGAAACTATCATAGTTGAAAAAATATAAAAAATTCGATGTATCAAGCGGGATCAATTGGCATTTATCGGGTTGTGGTCGACTAGATGTAGCCATGTATAATGATTCTCCCAATCAAGGCTCATGTCTGGTTTCTCTGTTTCTCGTTTCTCGTCTATTTGGAGTGCAATAGGCTTTTCGTGTTGTTTCTATAAAATATCTCTCAAGTCATACAGTGTCGACACTTTTTATTCTTAATCTGTACTATCATTCAATATTACATCATTATTGAAATAGAAATGATAAAAGTTATTTAGTTTTCTGAATTAGTTGAATCAGAGTAAAATCGGTTAAGTTGAAATATTGGAATAAAAACTTTATTGAATTGCCCACAAAATCAAAAGTTAAAAGGTATCAGTGCCTAAATACAGGGTGCGGCAGGATGATTGCAACCAATATTTTTTGAAGGATAGAAACCGATAAAAAAATCAACTCAAAAACTTTAACAATTGATTTTTAAAGAGAAATTAAACAAGAGAAAAACTATTTCCTTTTAAGATCTCTATGGGCAGAAATGCAGGCCTGGTGACATTTGGGAAATGCATCCACCGTGGCCAAATGGTAAGCGGGTTAGGGTTTATCACATGTTTCTTCAAGAGATTTCTTAAGCGAATCGATGCTGGAACGTAGGTTTTGAGCACGCTTTTGCTTCAAAAACATTCCAAACACTGAAATCCATCCGGTTTAAGATCGGCACTTGAGGTGGTCACTAAAGGTGACCAAAACAGGGAAATGCTGCTGGCGCCAGTAAAAAGATCTTTCTTAAGTATGCCGAGATAGTTGTTGGAACTGACATTGATTCCCTCAGGAGTTCCACCAATCCTGCCGCACCCTGTATAATAGTCTATGCCATCAAATTTCGTTGATATTGGCAAACTGGTCTAATGGTAAGTGTAAATGAAACAAATGCAATGATGAGCAAAGAGTGAGCAAAAAAAAATGGAATGAGCAATGATTTGGAAGGTATTTTAGGGATCGAGACTAGTTTCTTTGATTGATATCCTGCAATGTTATCGATTATCGAATAGAGGGTCACAATACAAAGTGAATGATCAAGCTACAACCTCCTCTGAGAAATGCAAACATAGCAAAATCAAATACAAATTTAGAGATGAGCATATTTGGGTATCAGGGAGGACAAAGACATTTCTAGCAAAAGAAATATTGGAACTTGAGGAATACGAGCTGGGGCAGCGTCAAAAGGTGGCGAGTTCGATTGCGTGAAGGGGGCTGTGGATTAGGAAGTCCCGTTGGCACGAATTCCACGTCCGTAATAGTAGGACCGAGGAATACCACTCAATTTTTTTCACGATCTTCAGCTCATGATTCGGTTTCACGATGTTTCGCTGACAGGAGTCTAGCACCATACAATAAAATGGATGAGACACGGTCAGTCGGCAAGGATTCCAAGTGAGACCAAGGACCAAAGGTTCGATTCCCAAGGCTGTTATTTTTAATGGAAAAACAAACCCTTCAGTCGCAGTTCAAATCGAATCGTATGTCTCATTTTTCCAGGTTTCCTCTCCTAGGAGGTTGATGTTCACTTGAGAGCATTGCCGTCCTATGGAATACGATTAATTGATCTTGAATGATAATCCTACCCCGGGCCACTCAATCAGTCCGTCCCTTGTGCGCGGATTTCCGAAGTTGATCCCAAATAGATCCTCTTCATTTTGCGACAGCGTGAACGCGTGCTGAAAACTGGAATCTTAAACAAAAGTTGTCAATTGTGCGAGTCGAACCACTGTTTTGCTAATAACTAGGCATCTGCTTTACGGCTTGTGGTGAAAGCTCACCGTATGAGCATTGTCGTAAGCGTGCGCTAACCACGAAACAGAAAGCGAAGCCCCGCATTCTCAAGGTTTTTCCACGGTCACATCGTAAAGAAAATATCCTGACTTTGCAAGTGGATCAGCGTCAACCAGGTGTCTGGATCGAAGTAGGCTTCTGAAAGTGGCTTAGATAAATTTGATTTGTATTGTATTCCTATTCCCTCACCTGAGATGAAACGACTGCAAATATGCTTTCCATTATAACAGGGTTCTATCATAACAATTTCTCTTTTACCAAACGATTTTCTTGTTTTTCGTGATTTTCAGCACGCCTATTTGTAAATGGTATTAGGTTGATGCATAAGTCTTTTCGTTTTTTTCGTACTTCTGTTAAAAAGTAACAAATTCACCAATTAATCTATAGTTTGCTCCATATAAAAAGTGTGTTTTTTGTTCAATTTCCATCTTTTAAATCAATTTCGGTTCCACTTTCAAGCAAATTCGAGAGTGAAAAACGCCTTTTTGGTAAAAATCTATAAAAACTCTACGGAAAAATTGGCAGAATGAATTTCTCTGAGATTTTGGCGAAATATCAAACTTTTTTCTCTATCTTTTATCTATTGACACGAAGATAGGTTTTCTTTAGCTAAGGTGTCTAAACCGCATCATCGAGTTAGCCCTTTTGACTACCCGACTTCATACTCTCAAGAAAATCCAGGCATAAAATATATTTTAAACCCGTTTTAATGTTATTTTGCAGAAAAATAATTGGTTTTCCTAATGGAAATCAACCGTAGTTTAATTGGTGCATTTGTTGGCTTGAAACGGCAGACGAAAAGGAACAAAAGACTTTTGCATCAACCTAATAGTTGTAAAAGGACGGCACGATGGTTTCGCTGAAACACTTATTACTGTTTAGGAAAAGTTTAAATATTTATATAGGTAAAGCGTATTTCAGATTACTTAAAGCAAGCTTTACCGTAATACCTATAATAGTGAAGCATCACCCCATAATGACTTATAGTTGCGTAATCGTTAAGTAAATCATTTTCGAAATCATGCCCAGCTTTCTCAATAAACTGTTAGTACCAAAAAAATTCTTTCCTTCAAGTGCTATATTTTGATATCTAAGCGTACATTTTTTGTCGAAGCAGCGTGGAGAAACGAGCGTCACAAAATTGTGTGTTAGACTACGCGACTGTACGGGCGTGGACGCTACTATTACAGGTATTACGGTGATTGTAGGTTCCGTGAGCATCAGGGCTAGTCTAATCTGGACTAAACAAAACATTTTCTCCACTAGTTTGCAAGATTAACCTGCTTTATCGGGTCCCAATCCAATCGAATGTATCCAAGTTTTACTTCTTCACCAACTCTGAGCTTCAACAACATCATTCCGAATTCGTTTTTTCCTAAACATTTTAGAATCTCAGGTCATAGTAATCTTTTTTTGTTTATTTCAAATCGGGTTTCTTGCAGTGAAATTAAAATTTTCTTATTTCACTTTTCCCTGGCTGAAAGCGAGTTTCTATTGGAAGAATCGTTAAGCCCACCTTTTTTGTAATTGAGCAACGTGCTCACCGCATCCGCAGGAGCACGAATTTCCAAAACAGTAGAGGTAAATTTATTACCCGTGGGGAATCTTCAAATTTCTCGCAAGGCTGAAAATTATACTGATAATCTTTCCCTTAAAATTAGCTTACCCTTGAACACTGGTTTTCGGTTGATAAACGAAACGACGAGCCCCGGATCGTACTTTTACTACCGATAAGGACATTTCCTTTTCAATTTCTTTCTCGATTGTTATGCTCATGGATCGCTTGTCGGTAATGCCACCTAAACTTTTTTCTGTTATGTTGATTGTTGAGAATTCAATGAATCACCCGTGATCTTCAAATAGCCGTTGAAAACGTTGACCAAATCGACGCTTACGAGGTCCGAGAACCGGGCTAAACTTCCTTCAGAATAAGGTTAGCTGACAAAAAGGGTTTCTAATGAAAATGAAAGAAGAACTCCAATAAAATCACTCAAGAACTCACCCCATATCGGGGGTCTTTCTGACGGTAAGTCTGCATCAAGAACAGAGAACTAACACTATATCTTGATCGACCAAACCATTTTCCACATTGCCGATTGCAGGCTGAAAACAGTAATTTGAAATTCATTTGGAAAACTGTCTATTTAAAAATATCAAGTGAATGGTTTTCAAAAGCCTAATTTTTAAAGCTTACTTTAGTTCTCCAAGTTAAGTCAAAAGTCAATAGGGACTTTTAATTGGTTTGTATTTGAGATTTATTGGCAGCACAAACAACAAAAGAATGTTGTCAGTAAGTAAGAATTTTCACTAACCGGTTCATTGGCACCTGACTGGTCGGGCTCGTTTTCATTTGGTTGAATCCCTGTAGCATTTGAGCACTCATTGCCATCATCGATCCACGGGGACCTCGCGCTTATCCTAAAATTGCTTTTAACTATCTCACAGATACAAAGCCAAATCCCTTGGTTTTTCAGCCTACTATTGAAACCAAAGCCTTTTGGTAATACTTTTATATTGAAACTTAAAACTTACACCCAAGGTAAATGTTTGGACGTCCATCAGTGACTTCGTTTTCATCATTGACCACCGGGAGCACTGGAATTGCACTCCACCGATTAGTGGCGCTTCCGGATTATCCTAAAAGTATTGGTATAGTCTGGAAATCAACTTACATCGAAAAATGATTTTATTAAGACGAAAACTCACATTCAATACTGGAACCGAATTATTTGGGGATTCATCGAAGGGCCCGTTGTTCTCGTTAATACCTTCTGGAGCCTCTAGAGCATTCCTGAAATACTAGTATGATATATAGTAAAAGCATACCTTTGGGTTTTCCAATACAGTGCCGGACAAAAGTTTAAGGACATGACCTCAAGTTACGGAAAAAGCTCAATATCTTTTAGAAGGTGAAGAGTTTCATTTAGGTCTTAAAAGCATTTTTGTTTGCCTCAATTTCAGGAATTAAATACATCTTATAACAGGTCACAAATCCTCAATACAAAAAAGTCTTTGAGACTTTAAAGGAAATAGCCGGTATTCTAGCCGGACAAAAGTTTAAGAACAAGCATTGTTTAACAAAGTTTATTTTAAAAAAATAACAATTCAAAAGCAACAAAAGTGATTAACAAGTTCAATACTTAGTCGAAGCACCATTAGCTTTGATCACTGCTTGGCAACGAGGCGGCATACTTTCGATCAACTTCTCAATAAAACTTTTTGGGATCTTGTTCCATTCTTGTTGAATAGCGTCCAAAAGAAGATCGCCGGTCGCGAATTTTTACGTTTTAGTCCACGCTCAACTTGACTCCACATGTTTTCAATCGGATTAGGATTGAGCTGGCCACTCTAAAAGACCAACAAGATTATCGGCAAACCATTTCTTTACGCTCCTTGCTCTGTGTTTGGGATCGTTGTCTTGCATAAAGACCCATCCCTCGCAGCATGTTTTGGGCTGCATGTGGAAGTATGACTCTCTCCAATGATACCACGGTATTGAAATTGATCTATTATCCCTCTGAACACGCTCCAAAGGTCCATGGCAGTCAAATGAAAAACATGACCACACCATGAGATTACCATCTCTATGTAACTGTACCAACAGTGTATCGTGGGTCATTTCGGGTGTTCGGCGGGCAACGAACATGTTTTATTCCGTCCGTATTGCTCATGTTGAACTTGGATTCATCTGACCAAAGCACGTTCTTCCATTCGGCAGCCGTCCAATGCTCGTGTGTGTAGCAAAATTCAACCTGACTTTCTTGTTCTTGACAGAGACGAACGGTTTATGAGCAGCAGTTCGACCAAAGAGGTGACTCTCGTTCAAACGTCTTTGTATTGTTCTCCGATCAACATTTGACGCTCCAATAGCTTCACGAACCTCAGGAGGCGTCAAAAACGGGTTCTTCTTGGACGCTAGTATGATGCGTTGATTCATCCTGAGCAATATTTTGCACATTTAAAAACGAAATCTCAAAAAACTTACTTGTCACTGGTTTTTCGAGGTCTTCCCATTTTCTTTCTCGGCTTCGGGTTCTTTCTACGTTGATAGACTTGCCAAACAGAGTGCCTTTTCATCCAATTGCCGTAGCGATCTCCTCAAATGTTTTGCTTTTTAGATCCCTCATTCGGACAATGGTATCCACATCAGAAGGTGAAATTCGTTGAGTTTTGGTCATTTTTTCTAAAAATTAATATAAAAATGTCCAAAAAAATCAGTGAAAATGAAATATTGAATTAAAAAAATGCTTGTTCTTAAACTTTTGTCCGGCTAGAATACCGGCTATTTCCTTCAAAGTCTCAAAGACTTTTTTGTATTGAGATTTGTGACCTGTTATAAGATGTATTTAATTCCTGAAATTGAGGCAAACAAAAATGCTTTTAAGACCTAAATGAAACTCTTCACCTTCTAAAAGATATTGAGCTTTTTCCGTAACTTGAGGTCATGTTCTAAAACTTTTGTCCGGCACTGTATATACATATATGCATTGTTTTTTGTTCCAGAACTCAAAAACTCATATTCAACACCGGGACAGGCCCGTTCCGACGTACATTGAAAACCCGATTTTCATCTTCATCCTCTGAAGTCGCTCGAGTATGATTACCATCTATCGCCAAGACTTCAGGATTATCCTAAAAGATATTGATTTTGTCTAGAAGTTACCTAGCCGTTAGGGTTTTGAGTTTTCCAAATTAGAGCTCACATTGATATCGATTATATCAAAATAATCAAATAATATAAAAAT